TTATAAATGCATGCCCAACCGCAGAAGTGTACCACCTAGGTTTAGCACTCCGGATGATGGCCTCACTGCTCCTTCCTGAGCGTGACACTGCACATAGGTGGGGCAGGCCCATTCTCCCAGGCTCTGTGGCTCTTTGTCACTGTCTCCCAGTACCACTCACTGGAGGTGCGCCCTGTGGACTCACTGGACTGAACAGAAGTCCTCTTCCCATTAGAAACTTGTTGTCCGGTCAGTCCTGAAAAGGACTGGCTGGTGGCATAAATGCATTGGATGGTGGGATTTTGTGGGCACCGATAAGGACTTTTCCTCTTTCCTGCAACTGATGTCATTATCCTAGCCCACAGGGATGAATGTTCTGGGCTGGAAAAGTGGAAAGTGACCCTGGGGCAATAAGGCACTCCCTGTCACATCACCGCTCATCCTGAAAGGCTGCCCTGAGGCTCACAAGGCAAGAGGAAACCAGGGCCACACCAGAGGCCGGAAGCTAGGAGTAGGTGGGGGTGGCAGTCGGGGAGTCCAGGTGCACCCTTCTCCCTGCCTGCTTCCGGCTCTAGAACCAGTACCGGTGTGGGTGTGGGCTCAGCACACTGTCAGGGTGCAAAGTCTTCTGTAAGAACAAAGGGCCTAAGAGTTGGGCTTTGCTCAGTGAGGAGAGCTACTGGTGAGGTAGATGTGGGGGTGGCAGACGAATCTCTCACTCGAATGGCCTTTCCCTTTGTGGCCTGGCTCTCGCAAGTGGCTGGTGAGCTAAGGAGGAGCCAGGGCCCCATTCTTTCTCCCTCATGGCCAACATAAACAAAAAAGTAGCAGATTAACTAGAGCCGGAAGTCAAGGAAAGGCAGCGTGAGGAGGCTGCAAAAGTTCCCCTCCAGACGCAGATAGAGGGGTGCAGCCCACCTCGCTCACCAGCTGAGAGGACCTTACAGAGATTTAGGGCCACTGTAAATGTGGCCAACACAAATCTCAGTTCCCAAACTGACTGAAATCTATTTTTCCATCACTTCTATTCTGGGTTGCCTCTCCCCTGGGATCCAGACAAAATCCAATGTCCGCTGACAGGGCATTCCATCTGAGTTCCAGGGGGCTGACAGCACTAAAGCTCTGGGTGATGGCGTCGGAAGGAAATACAAGCATTCCTCGTTTTGCTGTGCTTCATTTTATTGCACTTTGTGGATGCTGCATTTTTAAAGAAGTGAAGGTTTGTGGCAACCCTGCGTCAAGCAAGTCCCTTGGCACTTTTCCCAACAGCATTTGCTCACTTCCTGTCTCTGGGTCACATTTTAGTAATTCTCGCCACATTTCAAAGTTTTTCATGATTATATTTGAAATCCTGCAATTTCATGATAAAACCTGAATGGATGAGGAGTTGCTTCTCATGGAGGAGCAAAGAAAGTGGTTGCTTGAGATGGAATCCACTCCTGGTGAAGAGGCAGTGAAAATTGTGGAAATGACAACAAAGCCTTTAGAATGTTACATCAACTTAGTGGATAAAGCAGCGGCAGCTTTACAGAGGATTGACTCCACATTTGAAAGAAGTTCTGCTGTGGGTAAAATGTATCAAACAAGATTGCATGCTACAGAGAAATTGTTCCTGAAAGGAAGAGTCAATAGATGTGGCAAACTTCATCGTTGTCTTTTTTTGTTGTTTTTCTTTCTTGAGGAAGGGACGGGGGCAGGGAGAGGGAGAGAATCTTAAGCAGACTCTGTGCTGAGCATGAGTGCAGAGCCTGATGTGGGGCTCGATCCCACAACCCTGAGATCATGACTAGAGCCGAAATCAAGAGTCAGATACTTAACCGACTGAGCCGCCCAAGCGCCCCACATCGTTGTCTTATTTTAAGAAATTGTGCAGCCACCCCAACCTTCAGCCACAACCACCCTGACCAGTCAGCAGCCAGAAACATCCAGGCAAGACCCTCTACTTATGACTCACTGAAAGCTGATGACAGATAGCATTTTTTAGCAGTAAAATATTTTTTAATTAAGGTATATGTGTAGTTTTTGTAGACACAATGCTATTGCACACTTAAATAGACTACAGTGTAGTGTAGTGTGGTGTAGGGGGACATATTCAAGCCATAAGGGGAGGCACGCAGTTCACAGAGAAAAGGAATTCTCCTTTCTCTCCTATTCCTGCTTCTCGGGATTTTTATCCAAATATTTTGGCTGTTCCCTTGGGATATCATTCCCTTAAGGGTTTTAGGCTTTTGGAAACCAAGGTAAAGACCTTCCTTCCATTCTGCTTTCTGCCCTACTGCATCCCTTCCCTGAGGTGTTGGACAAACAACTTAGTCATTTGAATCTAAGCAAGAGCAAAAGGAAGAAAAACCAATCGGTCAATATCTCAAAGATGCTACCTGCCACATAAGTGACCATTCTTCTTCCTGGAGTACTGAGGAGAAGCTAGCAGGTAGCAGGGGAGGATTAGTGGCTTTGGGATGCCAGTTGTGTCTTCCTTGGAGATAAAAGTTGAGAAGCAACAGTCATTCCCTTAGCAAGTAAGAGAGGGAGCAGCTTTTTAAAAACACATTTATTTTAAAATTTTACATCATCTTTGGGTAATTCAGAATTCGATTAGGCATGTTTCAGACACTTCTGAGATCGAGGTCTCCAAACCAAGGTGGATAGCTTATGTGACTGAAGGATTGGGGGATCTCATGATATGGGATGAAGAGATGGCTACTGACAAAGACACAGCCCCCTTGGGACGGGGACTTTCCTGCAGCACTCAATCACCATTTTTATATTATCTGTTGCAAATATGAAACCTCTCACCAGACCAACAATAATATCCCTGTCTTATTTGCATTTTGCTAGTTTCCATATAGAGAGAACACAGAATTAAAGTTCTGTAGACCCAGAATCACACTTAAATTAATCTGATCCCTTATATTAATAATAACAATTAAAAGCTAGCATCTACCCAGTGTAGTTTCAGTGTCCACACCAACACCTATCTCCTGCTGGTGGAATGCTGCCTTCCTCTCAATGTGTGTGATTCAAAGATTGCAATGAGTGTGTCAAATCAGAACCTAAAGCAAGCTGGGAATTCATAGGCCCAGATCAGTGGAAAAGATTCCCTCCACACAGCAGGAAGCAACCCAAGTGCTTGGCCCATTCCCAAGCAGAAAGGCCAGAGCTGCAAGGAGTGGGTGGCGGGGGGGGCGGGGGGGAACACTTTTGCACCTGCACTCTCCATTGCCTCGGATGATTTCCTGGATGTTCCAGGCAGGGTAGTTGTTGTCTCCCAGTAGGATAGTTAATTCCCTGATGACAGGACCCCATCTCTGGCCTCCCTCAAAGCAAGATCCTGCCCAGGTGTGAGTGTGGAACAGGTCCTTAGTAAAGGGAGGAAGGCAGGGAGCGAGGGAGGGGAGGAAGGAAACCACCATGTACTGAGCACCTACTATGGGCCAAGTACAGAACCAGGACAGGTGTTTCATGTAACCCTTACAACAGCCCTGTGAGGTAGGCTTATCACCCCCATTTTACAGATGTGGAAACAGAGTCTCAGGAAAATTTGCTCATGGTGGCATGGCTAGTGTATAGGGGAACATCAGCCCTCCCCAGGGCTCCTGCTACTGCCTATATAAGCCAAGGGTTTGGCAGCACATGAGCACTCCAGCTCCCAGACGACTGGTCTAGAGCTCAAGCTTAAGAGGCCCTTGAGCGCATGGGTCTAGGAGCCCTGGCTCTACAGCATTATTTTGTGACCTTGAGTGAATCCTTTATTTTCTCCTCACCAGGGCCCAGACCAGTCCAGTGTGGTTCTCCACTGGAGAAGGCGGGTAGCAAAACTACCCAGGAAGCATGTTTGTACACCACCGGGGGAGGGCCTCTGGAGACTCTGATATTGCACCCTTGCTGGAGGGGTGGAGGGCATGGCCGTCTGATAAACCTTGTGAGAATCAGTTATGATCTCTAAGGTTCTGACTTCTGAGAACAACTTTAAATTCTAGGGAACCACATCCCCACTCCCTGAGAGACATTCCGCAAAAGGCCCATGAAGGTGAAAGAAATCATCGGATCAGGATACTTTTAAAGTACAAAATGCTTAAAAGTAATTTGAAAGAGGGAAAAAATCTACTGCTTTAAAGGGGAAAACAAGATGGCAGCTAGGAGGGGGTGGGGCGGGCATTAACAGGGAAGCAGTGGACAAGGTGTGCGAACCCAGCTGCAGCCAAGGGTCCGGCCAGGCCGAGCACAGACAAATCTGGTTTTTGGCATCTGGCTTGCCAGGTGTCTGCCATGGGGCTGTGCTCAGACAGGGGAAGTGGTTTCCTTAGAAAATAATGAGGCTCGAAGTTCAGGCAGACCTTAGAAAATAAATATGGGCAATAAAGGCAGAAAGGAAAACACAATTCAGATGACTCAAACATCTGCTTGACATGTTTCTCCAATCCTCTAAAATCGCCACAGCACAGCTCAGCAAAGCCCTCTCCAACCCATAGATACAGCAAATGCGTGGCCCCTCCGAGCATGCAAGCCCACAGCACGGCAACTCAGCCTCTCCACCAACCCCCCCCCACCCCCCGCTGGCTGTGAACTGAGCACACTGAATCCTCCATCTCTCTCCCACTGAACTGTGAGCAACCAGAGGATGGAGACCATGCCCTTTTGTGGCTCTCTTCTCCATATGGAGAGGATGTGGGTTCCTCAAGACCCTTTGCACATAAGCACCCAGGCTAAGGACCCGCCAAACCAGCTAGAGTGATTGGAATGCCACATCTCCCAGGGGCATGGACCTTGGGACCAACTTTGTTCTGGAGGAATCAAGCATGTTTCCTATGCCCCGCACCACTTACTGGCTCCCCAGAGCCACCCTATATGCCGGCACAATCATAATTTGGGAGAATTTCTTTCATACATGAAATCAGTGTCTAGGTGCAGATTTCGAGCAATAGAGAGTACTGGTTTGTGAGAATAACATCAATCTGATGGGGAAAACAGCCCAGCTTTGGCAGCCCTGGTGGGAAAGGTGATGTGGAAAGAATGCTAAGGTGTGTGTGTATGTGTGTGTGGCGGGAGGCTTTGGGCTCACACACCTCTGCAACTACGGGGCAGGCTGGACCTGGCTGGACCTGGCTGCTTGCTGTTGGGACTCCTGCAGCCTGAGGCTTTTCTTGACAGAAGGCCCACCGTGCAGGCTGGATTGTTCAGGAACGTGATCTGCCCAGACTTGGTGGAGAAGGGCTAGGGGACCTGAGCAGGGAGCCGATGTTCAGCAGCGAATTCTCCGGAAGCCAGGCAGTGTAGCTTTTCCCAGCAGGTAAATGTCCTCGTCTGTGCCTTGGTTGAGGTGTTTCACCAGATTCTTCTCAAAGAGGAGTGGGTGGTAGGCGCCCATTGTGCAGGCACTGTCAAAGAACTTCTGGTAGTAGTAGCACACGTCGGTCTTGCGCTTGGATGGGAGGAACTCGTAAATATCCACTTGGTCACATAGCGTCATCATGATGATGATACCTGAAGAGGAGAGCAGAGGTAAGTTCTCCGGACAACCCACCCCCGCACCCTGGAGTTCTGCCCCCATGAGTCCAGCAGCTCAGGAACCCAAATCTGGGGAGAGGTCTATCTGGAGTTTCTATTTATTACTGTGATTCCCAATCTGAGCCTGGCCAGTAAGCCAGTCCAGCAGGCTGTTCCTCGGGGTGTGAGGCTGCTGAGCCCTATGCACCTGTGAACCCCCAGCACCTAGGTCAGGGGCTGATGCATGGCAGCTTCTCCCTAAACATTAGAGGACTGAAGTGCTCCATCCATCGGTCACTGGGTTTATCAGTGTGAATAAGCTAAATGAAGAGAGAGGACAAGATGACTGAGGAGATAGTACCATCACATGTACATAGTACTTTCTAGCACTTTTATATCCTGCAGGAGCCTTGCAGATGGCGCTGACTGGGAGTTGTTGTTTCTTACAGTGCTTAGGAGAAACTGTGTGGGCAGGGAGACTGTCCTTCCCTCAGCTGGGAGGAGGGCGGTCAGCGGGAGGAGCCTGCCTGCTCTGTGTTGATGGGCTCTGCTAGTTCTGGCAGGAGACAGCAGAGGCAGTGAGACCAGGTTGGTGTTCTCAGGGAGGCGGCACAGAACTCTGTGCTGGAGACACAGAGGCAGTGTGTCAACACCCCCCAACAAGAGGCAGGAGACTCCTGCGATACCCACACCTGTCCCCACCTGGCTCAAGCACCTCAAGCAGGATACGTCCCTCTCTGGGCCTCAGGTTCTCCATCTGCCCCAAGGGGTGATCCACCCACTCCTCCTACCACCCAGGCTGTTGCTAGGATACAATCAGATCATGGTTCTCAGACCCCTTCTGACAACCATAAATATAGGGAAAGTTGAGGATGAAGCAGTCCTCACTAAGGACTAAAACTGTAAACTGCTAGCAGCAACTTTGTTCCAGAGGAATTGGATATGGGAAGAGCCCTCTCTGGCTGCCCCTGGTCCAGTGGGGGAGAAAAGACACCTCTGCAACTCAACTGGTGAAGGCACGACAGAAGTGGCTTCTAGAAATTTCAGGAGGGAGCACTTCCTATGGGAGAGGTCCCAAGTAAACCTCCTGGTGGCACTGTTGTGGGGCCCGGCAGGGGCCATGGCCATGAGGGATGGGCGAGGGGAGGGCTGGTGGGGACGGGACAATAGGGCGGTGGGAAAGTGCTCCCCAGGAGGCTTTTCCAACTCTTCCTGCTCCAAAGGGCTCCTGGAAGAGCCCCAAATGCACACATACAAAAGCTGAAGAAGAAGAGACGAAGACTTGCCACTGAGATGGCCCCCATCCCTTTCTCTACGGAGTGCCCCTGACAGTAAACACTCACTTGTTCATGCACTCGGGGGGCAGTTACCACAGGGCTATCCTGCGCCGCACCCAGAAGACTGAACTAAGAGACTCTTTACAATAGAGAACCGAGGGTTGCAGGAGGGGAGGTGGTGGGGGATGGGCATTAAGGAGGGCACTTGTTGTGATGAGCCCTGGGTGCTGTATGTAAGTGATGAATCATCAAATTCTACTCCTGACACCAATATCACACCATATATTAACTAACTAGAATTTAAATAAAAATTTGAAAAAATATATAAAATTTAAAAAGAAAGAAGAAGAAGAATGCAATAAGCTCAGTCCCCATCCTGAGGGAGTTTGCATCCCAGGAGGAGGGAGCTTCCCTTCCATGTGTTCAAGAAGAAAGTCTGAAGCCGGCATTCAGGACCCTCTGGACTCAGGCCCCAGCCCAACTACACCCGCTCCCTCAGCTCCATTCATGACCCTCAAACCCAGGAAAGCTTTGCCACTCATTCTTCTCTCAGGGCCAGGACTAGGGTACTCACTGGGTTCAACAGATTTTTGAAATTCTGAATAAAGTATTATTGATTCTTGCTTTGTCCTCAGATGCCAGTATGGCTCAGCATTACATTATCACTGATCCTATATTTACTTAAAATTTTGATACTTCATTCAGGATAAAATCTTGCATTAATTGTGGTTTTTAAGAGATATTGTATTAATATTATTTAGCTTGTTACTGAAGTTTTTGGTGTCCCCTTAAATGGTGCACCTGAGGAAAGTGCCTCCCTTGCCTCATCTTCCAAATCCCAGCCCTGCTCTTCCTGTTTTCCTGCCCCCTCCCCAAGCCAAATCTGCCCCTCACCCAGGCCTGGCCCAATGCCACTCCTCCACTGAGCTCTCTGACAGCACCCCAGAAAGGGTGCTCTTTCCTGGCACAACCGGGTGGCTGCGCCCTCCTGGCTTCGGACACCTGACTGAACTCCCCCACCAAACACCCTAAAGGAGAAGGAGTCTATCTTATTGATCTCTGGATCTTAGCTAGAACTTGGCACAGCGTAGAAATACAGCAAAAACCTGGCAATTGTTTGGTGAACAAAGGAATGAAAGAATGAACGAAAGCCCATTCTCTAATCTCTTCTAGAAACAAACACGAGAGGTCTTTCCCCAGATACGGACTCACCAAGCATCCCAGAGGATGGGGGGTTGGGCTGAATCTCCTCTGGGGAGACTTCCTGAATGATGTCCCACAGCTCCCAAGGCATCTGGGGCTTGAGGATGTAAAAGGGCTGGTTGGGATGCAGCTTTCGGTAGCTCTTATAGTTCTCGAAGAAACTGTAGTCGGGGCTCTGGTACCACTGAAAGAGAAGGAAACGGTCTTCTCAAGGAAAGGGACGTGCCTCGGAGCCCCTTCCTCAGAGCAGTTTCCAGACTTCTCCATGTCACTGCTCTCACTTACTAGCAGAGGGGACCCAGCGTGTGGCCTATGCTCACAGGGAGTTTTGAGCTTGGTGACCCTGGCACAGCTTCAGACTTCGGGATCATGGACTCTGGGAATGCTATCAGAGCTCAAAGGGGCCCTTGGCACCATCTAATCCCACCTCTCATTTTTAAAGGGCTGAGACCTGGGGCACAGCTTGCCACATCTGTGGGCTGGGAGCCCCTGTCCTGCCCCAGGCATGCTTGAGTTCTAAGTGAGCTGTTCTAAAACCGTGGAGGCTGAGGTGGTGAGGGTGCCAGCGATCACCAGAGCCTGTCAGCTCCTGGTGGGTCTGACTTCAGAAGCCAGCGTCCCCAGGGCGGTGCGCTCCATCCTTCGGCCCTGCCGCCGTGCTCCTGAGGCACTGCAGCCCCATCAGGGAGAGGCCGGCTGACATGCATGACAAACAGGAAGAGCGCCATTCCAGAGAGGCCTTGAAGCAAGCAGGCCTGAGACTCCCGTCCCCTTCCTGAAAGAGAGCCCTCCGCTTGGTAGACCAAGTTCTGGGACAGGCGACTTCCCCTCTCCGCATTCTGGTCTCCTCACCTGTAAAGGGCAAGGGCCATGCCTCTACCTACTTCCCTATGTTGTTATGAGTGAAATGGGAAGAATTCTGGAAACCGGAAGTAGGTCACGCATGATGATTCTGTCCTAGGAATGAGTAGCACTGTCTATTCCTGCTGATCTGCCTCAGAAATAATTGTATGAGATGGACACAACCCCACCCCAGGCGGTGAGAAATCCAGCCACTGTTACTCCTGCCCCATACCATCATTAGGAGAGAAAAACATGGCCCCGCGGGGCAGAGCACAGAGGGCGCTGGTATCAGACAGCAATACATCTGCGCTGCTAGTCTGGATGAAGTGTGTTCCCTCAAACAGAAAGAGCCAGTCCTCAGGGGTGGCCCAGGTCGGCCATGACGTTCAAAACCCAGGAACTCAGAAACGTCCATAGGCAAACAGAAGACTCGTTCCCTATTTCCCATGGACACCCACTTACCTTTGGGATATCTGAATGGTAAACAGAAGGGTCCCACACAATTAGGATTCCCTCGTTGTACAGACTGTCTTTGAGGAAGCGCCCTTCAGTGGTGACCAGCTGCAGGAAGAAACAGACAAACTGTCACCCGGATGTTGACATGTCAGCGTTCTTCATGGAGTAATAACTGACAGGTGGCAAGTACCACCCAAGGCGCTTCATTTCAGTGATCCATGAGATGAGCTGTCAGATGTTCACCTTAAAAAGCACATGTTGCCCAGGGGGAAACTGAGAGAAATAAATGGCAGAAACGAAATCAAGAACTGCCTGAAAATAAAAGCAAGAATCACAATAATCGCTCCCCGCCTCGACCCCTCACCATCACGAGGTGGAGACGTAATCAGTATCACTGTTATATCTCAAGAACGACTAGGTACATCCCAGAGAACAGCAACTTGCCACGAGCCTCTGAGCTACCCCATCCCCTCACGCCTCCCCCAAAGGCAGGAAGGCCCTGGAAGCCTGAACAATATAATCCCACTTTCTCAGGATATCTTTGAGACATGAACTATTAGCGGTGGGCCCACCTTGGCTGGAGATCATTTGGTTGTACCGGGTGCTAAGGAGTCCCCAGGGAGTCACAGGGTGCCAGCGTGAGTATGGCCATGAGATGAGTGAGGTAAACCTTTCTGTTTACCTCAACACATGGCCATCTAAAGTAAAGATTCCCTGAAATAAAAATTTCCCAGCCTCTCTTACAGCTAAGTCTGGCCACGTGATAAAATTCTGGCCAAGGGTGTGTGAGCAAGTGTGACTTCCAGGAAGGGTCCTTAGAGGCAGAGTCATGCCTTTCCTTGTTCATTCCTCCCTCCTGCTGGCTGAAAGTGGATGTGATGGGTGGAGCTGGAGCAGTCATCTTGGACCATGAAGTTGAAGTCACATGATTGAATGGCAAATGCACAAAGTAGTAGGAGCCCCGGGTTTCTAACACACTGGAACACCATAGCAGCTCTGGAATGTCCACCCTTGGACTTCTTTTACACGAGATAGAAATACATTTTTATCTTGTTAACCTTGTGTTGAGGGGTGGGCAGAGTGTTGCTGTCACTAACAGCCGAACCTAATTCTACTTAGTACCGTGAGGAGCTTGTCTGGGAATTGCAGGTTGTTCAGTGCAGCTAGGATACAGAGGGAGAGCTAGAAGGTGTTAGAAAAATGTAGGCAGGGGCCATGCCAGGGAGCTTAGAGTTTTTTCAGTAGGTTATGGGGCCGGTGACCGCTTTTAAGTGAGAAGGATGTAAACTGACCAGAGTTCTGGAATTTCTCAAGTTTGAGAGAAAGGGAGGCCAGGAAGAAGCTGTCATTGCAGCCTAAGAAACGATGGAGAAGGAACGAAGACCAGGAGCTCCCACTGTCAGCTGTAGACCTGCAGACTCACTGGGTGTTGAGAGGGAAGCAAAGGGGGTTAAAGGTAACTCCTAGACCTCGGGCCATTTCCTAAAATGAGAATGTGGAAAGAAAAGCAACTGGCATGTGCCTGTGGGGGTGAGGTGGGGATGTGAAGTTCAAGGTTGAGACAACTGGCCTGAAGGCCCACAGCTGAGGGGCCACAGGATCGAGGAGCGTCTTCGGACATTAAGTGCGATCCTATGTCTGTGGGCAGCACTGTAACCCCCGGCACAGGCATTCAGTGCTGCAGTCCAAAGAAAGAGTGGGCATCCCGGCAGATGGGGCTTTGCAGGAGAGACACGATCGAGCTGGGGACAGGGAGGCCCAGGGAGCAGTGCGCACCCTTCCGAGACAGAATTCTACAACTTTGTTCCCTATTCCTATCCCACTCCATGCCCCTCAGAGCAGCTGGTATACTGAGAGCCTGAGTCTTCTTGAGCCATGCTTCTTTCTCCGTGGAGTACCGATGCCGAGCGATGTTTGCGCACTTGAGAGAATTAGAGATAACTGGAATTTTTAAAACATCTCCTGCTCCTCTCCAGTCATCTGCTTAGTATAGAAGAAGGAGGCCAGTGGCAGCAAGCTCTGCTAAGACTTTCCCAGCATCTGTGGCTTCACAGGCCTCAGAAATCCCAAGAGAGCTGCTCAAAAGTCTTCTCCTTTCCGACAACGGAGAACAACAATGATAGCAACAGATGCCATCTGATGATGTTTATTCCAAGCCAGGTACGTTCATACATTATCTCAGCTCATCTTTGCAACTGCTCCAGGGGGGAATTATGAATATGCTCATCTTATAAATAAGGCAATGAACTCAGAGATGCTAAGAAACTCACCCAAGCCATACAGCTAGTAAGCAGGGGGTCTGAGCTGGAGCCCTTCTGTCTGACTCCAGAGTCCGCACTTCTGACCTGCGTCGTGCACTGCCTCCCACAAAGTGGGCAGGGTGAGTCAGCCGTGGGTCTCGGGAGGAGATGCCAAAGAAAGCGGTTGATGAGGGAGACAGACATGTCGTGAGAATGTTGCTTCTTGTCTGAGTCATAGCAAATCACAGCTGGAAGATCCTCGAGGGGCTGGACCCAAGTCTGTCATTTTCAGATGGGTAAACTGAGGTCCACAGAGAAGAGAGACTTATCCCAGGCTTCCAAGTGAGCTTGAGACAGAGCCAGAACCAGAGTCTAGAGGTTGGCTCCTCCCCAGTGTTCTCTGTTTCCCCCCAGGGCTGTATTCCGAAACCACAAGGCATTTGAGTGAGCACCCTAGTGGGGCCTGGGTCACCCTCGGTTCTCACCATACATGGTGGGGAAGTGGCTGTTCACTCGAGCTACTTGATGAAGCAAATGACAAAGCATGAAACTGAGAAGAGGTGAAGGCAAGGGCTAGTTTATCCCGAGGTGGAAGAGAAAGTGACCACAGCTGGGACCTGTGCGGGGACAGGGGAGAAGCTAGCAAGCACCCCTTGAGCTTAAATGGACACGGCTCTGAACTTTCCAGACTCATTCTGGTGGCCCTTACGTGAGATGTAAAGATTTCCTCAAACACAAGAGAGCCTCAAAACTGCTTGGGGAAGTGTGGCAGTGCTCTGCGTCTGACTCGCTCTGTGGTCTTAGGAGGGTTGCTTCCCCTCTCCAGGCTAATGTGCCTTATTTATAGGACAGGACCGCCCTGAAAGGCCCAGCTTGGGCGGCCAGCCATGCCTGGACAGCATCTCCATCTGCCATTTTCCCCAACTTTAGCACAAGGCACTGGGGAGAGATCAAGGTCTTCTCAAATGCCCCTGTACTTAACCTCGTGCAGAGTCTTAGCTGAGATCAGGTCAGATCCCAGGAGCCTCGTGATGAGAAAAGTCGGTCATTGCCACGGCACCTGAGCCACAAGGAACACCTGCCAGGAAAAGGCTACACCAGGGAGATGGGGTGGTGCCGTTATATAAACCTGTTTATAAAGTCATCTCTCCAGTCACAATGCAAGAAATGCGGCAGAAAGAAAAGACAAGAGTATACACATCTGTATATATATATAAGAATAAGAAAACAACCATCAATCATTGCATTCATCAGATATTGCCTGTATGAATATGTTGGTCTTTTTTCTTCCGAAATCTTTTTTCCCTCTCAGTTATGGGCTGAACTGTGCCCCCCTTCCACCCTACCAAAATTCCTATGTTGAAGCCCTAACCCCCTATGTGATTATATTGGAGATAGGGCCTTCAGGGAGATAATCAAGGTTAAATGAGGTCACAAGGATGGGTACCTAATATGATAAGATTGCTATCTTTATAAGAAAAGGAAGAGACACCAAAGATCTCTCTCTCTTTTCCATCTTTCACATGGAAAGGCCATGTGAAGATGCAGAGAGAAGGTGGCCATCCACAGGCCAGGAAGAGAGCCCTTATCAGAAACCAACCTTGATGGCACCTTGATCTTGTACCTCTGGCCTCCAGAATTGTGAGAAAATAAATCTCTGTTGTATAAGCCACCCCATCTGTGGTATTTTGTATTTTGTTATGGCAGGCATAGGAAACTAATACACCGCATGTGTGTGTTTGTGTGTGTAGATACTGGTAACTATAGAGTCTAGACTCAGTTGCTTTGTTAAACTCACACAACATTCAAAGTCTATGTCTTCTCATTTACCCCTCACAATATTCCCCAGCTCCGAACAGGGCATGAAAAGGAAGCTCTAAGAAGTTACCTAACGGGCCCAGGATCACACAGCGAGGAAGGGACAGAGCTAGGATACAAATCAAGGCCTGTCTGATCTCTTCCCACTGCACCAGACAACCTTCATTCAAAACAGCAAGGGATGACGAGTCTGTGTTCTAGTGCCAGACTTTGCCAGAGCTACAAGGCTAGTTAGTGCTATAGGAAGACAAACAAGGGGTGGTCGAGGTCCTGAGTAGATTTGAAAAATGAAGGCCGGGCCACGGTAAACCGGACCTGGACAGGATGCAGGTGCTCTAACAGAGAGAAGGGCACCTCAAGTGGAGAGCCACCACAAACCCCAAATCAGAGGGGCCTGTAATTCTACCCGGCATCCCAGGAAGTCATCAAAAGAACCATGAAGTGTAAAAAGAAGTAGTGTTGGAAACTGCTTAAATGTCCAAGCAGAAGAGGTTACGAGAATGATCTATGAAACTTAGCTACGAAGGAGTACCATGCAGCTATGACAAAGAAGGAGGAAGATCTCTATGAGCTGACAGGGAGTGATTTCGAGAAGATACTGGGGGAAAACAGTGCAAAAGAGCATATAGAGCCCACTGTACTACATTCTGTGTGAGAAACAAGGGGAATTGAGAAAGCATATGTACATCTATTTATCTTTTCTTTTTTAATTTATTTATTTAACTGACAGAGAGAGAGAGACAGCTAGAGAAAGAACACAAGCAGGGGGAGTGGGAGAGGGAGAAGCAGGCTTCCCGCGGAGCAGGGAGCCCGATGCAGGGCTCGATCCCAAGACCCCGGGATCACAACCCGAGCTGAAGGCAGCCGCTTAACCAACTGAGCCACCCAGGCGCCCCGTACATCTATTTATCTTGACTGACACAAATACAGAAGGACAAATCAGAACACGGTGCAGGTGACTACCTACCAAGGGTGGCGATGGAACCGGGTGGCAGGAATTTAGGAGGGGGTTAACACTTCTCTGGGTATGCCTTTCTGGATAGTTTT